GGGGCAGCTACAGGGACTAGCCGGCCACCCTAATGCACAAGGTCCAATGTTTCCCTGGCCAGGCTGTGGGTACAGCAGGCATTGTTGGTGGTGTTTTTGTATCATAAATCAGCAAGTTAGATATGAGATGCCTTAATGAGCCAATTAATTAGGAGTCTTTATTCGCTCGGGCCCAGAGGAAGGTGTTTCTCAAATCTCTGATCCAAGCCATAGAGGAAGTACTTTCTATTTATACCTTTTTGAGCCCTTTTTCTGCAGATTTTACAAAGAGGTCTGTGTGAATCATTTTTGTAGACAGTTTGTAACCTTGGATACATAATGAACCAACACTTGGCATAAGAATATGGGAATTATTATCAGTACTAGTAGCCCTGTGCAGGAAATTCATGCACATCAAAAGGGAGTTAATTGCCCTAACCGGTTTGGCTCAGTGGATAGAGCATCGGCCTGTGAACTCAAGGGTCCCAGGTTTGATTCCGGTCAATAGCATGTACCTTGGTTGCAGGCACATCACCAGTGGGAAATGTGCAGGAGGCAGCTGATCGATGTTTCTCTCTCATCGATGTTTCTAACTCTCTATCCCTCTCCCTTCCTCTCTGTAAAAAATCAATAAAACATATATTTTTAAAATGGGAATTAATTAGCGGAGATATTTTAATATTGCTATTTGCCCTCTTTCTGTAATAGAAGTGTGAGAGATGAAAAGAAATTAGTAAAATGTTTATGAAATAATATATAAATTTATTAATAAACAGTAACAAAAGGATATAACAACCACAAAAACGATATGAAAACAAAAAAAACATGATATAAAAACAACAGTGATGCAAACAATGACTGATAAAGTGATTAAACTTATTCTAATATCTCTCTGTACGCCACATTAAGAGTGAAAACACTTTCAGAGTGCTTGACTAATTTCCCTTGTGATGAAGTCCTTAGAACTTTAACTGTAACGTCACATGCTCTTCAAACTCAAGAGAAAGCAACATATAACTGACCATGTGCGAAAACGGGTTCAGGTAGGAATATGCCTACTCTGTCTAGAGTTTGTCCTTGTGATTTACCAATACAGTGGGGCCTTGACTTACGAGTTTAATTTGTTCCATGGCGGAGCTCGTAACTCAAATTACCCGTATGTCAAATCACTGTGACGTTCGCTGCGCCAACTAGCGGTAGGGTATCTGAAGCTGGCTCGTAACCCGAATTTTAGCTCAAAACTCAATTCAAAGCAAAAAATCGGCCGAGAGACAGCTCGTATCTTGAAAAACTAGTTAGTCGGGACACTCGTAAGTCAAGGCCCCACTGTAGTCATCACAAATGCTGGCATCGAGGGAAACCGTCATCGAATCAATTTAAATGGGAGGCCAGTGTCAGATGAGGACAAATTAATTCTTGAAATCAGAACAACCTCTCTCTCTGCAGATCCTGTTAAACTTCAGCTTCAATAATGTTAGGTCGTAATCTTTTGATAATAAATCTGGTACCATTACAAAGACCCCATTTACTATTGAGATTTCTCAATAGCATGATGACTGCACCCACTTTCAATTTTAATTTTCAATTTTAATTCCCAAAGGAGTAATATGTACTATTAAGAAATTCGGGGAAAAACCAAGATGGCGGCATAGGTTAACTCGGGAGTTTGCGGCCTCGAACAACCACTTCAAAAATACAACTAAAAGACGGAATGGACATCATCCAGAACCACAGGAAGGCTGGCTGAGTGGAAGTTCTACAACTAGGAGGAACCGAGAATCAGAGGAGGCGCAGTGCTGAAGTAAAATACTAAGGTGCGGAGTGCGTGCAGCGAGGGCTGGTGGCTGAGGGCGCAGTTGACTGTTGCAATCCGGAGGGAGCCTCAGACTCTGAGCTCCAGATCCGGGTGATTCTCTAGGGACCCAGACTCAAACGGGAGAAGCGGGACTGTCTGGCTTCGGTCCCTCCGAGGTTTGCAGCGGTTGCTGGGACAGAGAGGCAGAGCCTCTGGGGACGGACTGAGAGCAGCCATAACTGCTCCCTCCTCCGCCCTGTTGATCCTGTGGGACCCGCCCCGCCCAAGCCATGCACAGAGCCATTTGCCGGATAGCCTCAGGCAAAGGCTAAATTAGCACCTCCCTAGAGGACAGAAGTTCTCCCACTGCAAACACAGCTGATTCTCACAGCCAGTTGGCCTGGAGGTCAAGTAGTAATTACCTACAACAATCAAGGCTTGACTACAAGTCTGCTCACAGAGACCACAAGGGGATGCACCAAGAGTGTCTACCTCAGGTAATTGGGACACTTAACACGGAAAGCCACTCTATCGACACAGCGAAGCATAAAAAAATGCCAAGACAAAGAAACAGGCCACAAAGGACAGAACCGGAGGAAAGCAGGCTACTGGATATAGAATTCAAAACCACACTTTTGAGGTCTCTCAAGAGGCTTCTAGAGGCTGTCGATAAACTTGATGAGATGTACAGGAAATCTAATGAGACCCTCGATGCTGTGATAAAGGACCAACTAGAAAGTAAGCGTACACTGACTGAAATAAAGAATATTATACAGACTCCCAACAGCAGACCAGAGGAGCGCAAGAATCAAGTCAAAGATTTGAAATGCGAGGAAGCAAAAAACACCCAACCGGAAAAGCAAAATGAAAAAAGAATCCGAAAGTGTGAAGATAGTGTAAGGAGCCTCTGGGACAGCTACAAGCGTACCAACATCAGAATAATAGGGGTGCCAGAAGATGAGAGAGAGCAAGATATTGAAAACCTATTTGAAGAAATAATGGCAGAAAACTTCCCCTACTTGGTGAAAGAAATAGATTTACAAGTCCAGGAAGCGCAGAGAACCTTAAACAAAAGGAATCCAAAGAGGACCACACCAAGACACATCATAATTAAAATGCCAAGAGCAAAAGACAAAGAGAGAATCTTAAAAGCAGCAAGAGAAAGAAACTCAGTTACCTACAAGGGAATACCCATATGACTGTCAGCTGATTTCTCAACAGAAACTTTGCAAGCCAGAAGGGAGTGGCAATATTCAAAGTGATGAATGCCAAGAACCTACAACCAAGATTACTTTATCCAGCAAAGCTATCATTCAGAATTGAAGGTCAGATAAAGAGCTTCACAGATAAGGAAAAGCTAAAGGAGTTCATCACCACCAAACCAGTATTATATGAAATGCTGAAAGGTATCCTTTAAGAAGAGGAAGAAGAAGAAAAAGGTAAAGATATAAATTATGAACAACAAATACGCATCTATCAACAAGTGAATCTAAGAATCAAGTGAATAAATAATCTGATGAACATTATGAACTGGTGATTATAATAGAATCAGGGACATAGAAAGGGAATGGACTGACTATGCTTGCGGGGGGAAGGGGTGTGGGAAATGCGGGAAGAGACTGGACAAAAATCATGCACCTATGGATGAGGACAGTGGGTGGGGAGTGAGGGCGGAGGGTGGGGTGGGAACTGGGAGGAGGGGAGTTATGGGGGGAAAAAAGAGGAACAAATGTAATCTGAACAATAAAGATTTAATTATTAAAAAATAAAAAAAGAAATTCGATGGGAAAATTTTCCTTTTCAGCATCATCTGTGGAATCAATGGAATCATCACTCAAATATGTGTGAAAATCTCCATCGAGTATATCCAAATTTTCTTCATTTAATTTTTGAACATTCTCATTTTTTGGACAAAGAATTGCATGTTTAGATATATTTTTAATATTATCTATAGCAGTGGTTCTCAACCTTGGCTGTACATTAGAATCACCTGGGAATCTTTTTAAAATCCTGATTTCTGGGCCTCATCCTCTGGAAATTGTTTCTTTGTTATGGGGTGGGGCCACAACATTAGTAACAAAGAAACAGAATTTCTGGGAGCATGAGGCCCAGAAATCAGGATTTTAAAAAGATTCCCAGGTGATTCTAATGTGCAGCGATGGAGCTTCCTTGTCTATGGAGCTTCGTCTGGTTCCTGAGTGAGACACCCTCCCTGAGCCACACGCTGCCTTTCTGCTCTCACACACTCTGCTCAGACCTCTCTCCCTCTGCCTCTGTGTCTCCATTGTCTCTGTCTCTCCCTCTGTCTGTCTCTCTGTCTCACACCTCCCCTCCCTCACCTTCCGTGTCTCTCTCGGCTGTGCCCCAGGTCGTGGTGCATTTCTGAAGCCAGGCCCTTCCTCTTCCTCAGGGAAGCCACCAGGCTGGGCCGGAGCCCCTTTCCCCCCACACCTGTGCCCACCTGAGCCTCCAGTCCTCTCTCCAGGGCTGCTGGTGCTGAGTGTGAGGGGTGCCCTCCTTGAGGGCAGGACCGCCCTGTGCTGCTCTGGGTCCCCACACCCAGCTCGGAATGCACACCAGTGGGCCCTTGGACCCAGGCTCAGTCACCTGACTGCCCAGGAGCACACAGCCCTCCCTGTCCCAGAAGTCACACACCCAGTCCCCTGTGAACTCCCTTTGCTGGGCTCTGGAGCTCAAGGTGGGGGCCAGGCCGGGCCTGGAGGGAAGCAGGACCCCTTCTCTGAGGGTGAACCCAGGTCCTTGTCAATGAGCCACAATGCAGGGCACTTTGCACCCAGCCAAGTCCCTGTAGCCCCTGCCCAGGGCCACCTGACCATTCCCAGTAACCAGCCAGGTGGGCTGAGGGCACCAGCCACCCAGATCAGCAGGTCCTGGGAATGGTGGACCATCCCTGCACTTGTGCACTCATGTGTATGTGTGTGTGTGTGCATGTGTCTGTGGGTGTATGGGTGTGCGCGCACACTTCTGTGAACTTGGCCCAACTTGAGCCCACCTGGAAAGAGCAGCTATGCATGTATGTGTGTGTCTGAGCGTCTGAGTGCCCACACCTGCGTGACCTTGGCCCTGAGCCTGGCTGAAACCACAGCTATCCTGCCTGGAGGAATGGGCAGTGGGAGGAGGAGGGGAAGGGAACCATCCACAGGAAATTGCCAGCCCCGGCTCCCGGATGTCTCCCGGATGTCTCCTGCCCCATAAATACCCCTGCTCAGAGACAGGGGCCTCGAGGCAGGCACACGCACCATGGGTCGCCCAGAGCTGGCTGTCTTAGGCCTCGCCTGCTGCTTGGCAGTAGTGAGCGCCGCAAAGGTAAGCGAGAGTCCAGTGGACGAGGAGGGGCCCCTGTCTGCTCCCCTAACCCGGCCAGAGAACTGGGTCTGGCACCGGTGATGGGGAGGTAGGGAGGTGAAGGGGGGAAGGCAGGTGAGGCGCTGGCAGGAGGAGCCCCTGAGAGCCCACACCCAGCGGGCACTTTTCTGGCCCTTCCTCTGCTCCTGCATTCGCACGCACACGATGGCACAGGCACAGCTCAAATACAGGACGCCCGCGAACTTGAACGTCAGACACCGCGAATAAATTCTGGTACAGGCGCTCTCCAGGGCACACAGGGTGCACTGACGCCAAACACAAACAAAACCCCAGTGTCACTGGCATCCTCAGTGCTGATTTGCAGAGTCCGCCTTGGCCACCACGGCCCTCCGGCTCTGCCTCTGTCCGGGGATGGCCATGGCCCCGGCACAGAAGGGAGCTGGGCCCTGAGCAGGTCAGCAGGTTGCCCATCAGAGCCCCCAGCATCGGAAGAGGAGTGTGGACCTCGGCCTTATTCAACCAGGTGCCCTGCCCCCGCCCCCTGAGAAGGAGCAACACCAACCTGCTTACTGGTGGCCGGGGCCCCTCCAGAGTCACCTAAGAGCCTCGGGGCAGCCACAGGGTCTCTCTCCTAAGGGCCCTGCCATGGGGTGAGGAGCAGGGCTTCCACAGGAACCCACAGCTACAGGTGGGTGAGACTAGGGGCCCCACCTGGAAGCTGTTCTGGAACTCTAGAGCCTGCAGGGGTGGCCCACCCCACTGGCCGCCCAGCCTGCGCCCCCTGAGCCTGGCCCTCTCCCCAGCTGGGTGTGGTGCTCACGGAAGGGGGCTTCGTGGAGGGCGTCAACAAGAAGCTTGGACTCTTCGGCATCGGCGGCCGCTCTGTGGACATCTTCAAGGGCATCCCCTTCGCTGCCCCGCCCAAGTCCTTGGAGAACCCCCAACCGCACCCAGGCTGGCAAGGTGGGAGTGGGTGGGTGGGTGCCGGGCTGGCCCAGTGCCTGGGGTGGCGGGTGGGGCCACAATCCTCACGCCAGCCCTTCTGCCCACCCACAGGGACCCTGAAGGCCAAGGACTTCAAGCAGCAATGCCTGCAAACCACTGACACCATATTAAATACCAAGGGCTCCGAGGACTGCCTCTACCTCAACATCTGGGTCCCCCAGGGCCAGAAGGAAGGTGCATACCCCCACCCTGTGCCCTCCAGGTCCCCGAACCTGCAGAAAGAGGCCCAGCCCTGCCCAGCCCCTTGGCTGTGTGTGGGCTCCAGAGCTGAAATTCCCTGAAACAAGCACCCAGAGGGGATGGGGAGGGGCAGCTGGGGGGTCACCAGGCCTGCTCTCCTCCCTCAGTTTCCCAGAACCTGCCTGTCATGATCTGGATCTTCGGAGGAGGCTTCCTCATGGGGTCTGCCCAAGAAAAAAGCTTCTTCAATAACTATGAGTATGACGGGGAGGAGATTGCCACACGGGGCAACGTCATTGTGGTCACCTTCAACTACCGCCTCGGGCCGCTGGGCTTCCTCAGCACTGGGGACACCAACCTGCCAGGTGTGCTGGCTCCTTGGGCCTGGGTGAGGGAGCAGGTGGGGGTCCCTTCAGCACTGCTTTCTCCCAACAACTCCCAGAGAGACCCAGAATTCTACTGGCAGAGCAGGAAGCTGGGGATGGACAGTGAGACACAGGAGCCCATCGGCAGCTACAGTGAGAGAAGAGGCTGCCAGCCCAGCAGGGACCCAGAGACACTAGGGAGCAGGAACAGGGACCCAGAGACACTAGGGAGCAGGCACAGGGACCCAGAGATACCAGGGAGCAGGGACAGGGACCCAGAGATACCAGGGAGCAGGGACAGGGACCCAGAGATACCAGGGAGCAGGGACAGGGACCCAGAGACACTAGGGAGCAGGGACAGGGACCCAGGAACACCAGGGAGCAGGGACAGGGACCCAGGAACAACAGGGAGCAGGGATAGGAACCCAGGAACACCAGGGAGCAGGCACAGGGACCCAGGAACACCAGGGAGCAGGCACAGGGACCCAGGAACACCAGGGAGCAGGGACAGGGACCCAAGGAGACCAGGGAGCAGGAAAAGGGACCCAGTGAGAGACAGAAGATGAGACACTGAGGTGGTGACTAGGGGGACACAGAGCCATGGGACAGACAAGAGGGACCGTGTCAGGGAGAGAGATGAGCAGCCTGGCCCTCCTGGTCCTGGTCCCCTACCTGAGCCCCACACCCCCTCCAGCACCTCATTCAACCAGTTTCCTAGGGACCCACCCTGCACCATCCTGGGGCTTGACAGGGGCCTCCACATGGAGGACGCTCTCCCCCCACCCCAGTCCCTGATGGGCTCCCCCACCCGCCCCAGGTAACTACGGCCTTCGGGACCAGCACATGGCCATCGCGTGGGTGAAGAGGAACATTGCGGCCTTCGGGGGGGACCCTAACAACATCACCATCTTTGGGGAATCAGCTGGAGGTGCCAGCGTCTCTCTGCAGGTCTGGGGACCCTGGGAGGGAAGGTCCTCCTCCCAGGATGTTGCGGGGGGGACCTGGAGGGTAGGTTATGGGAGCTGGGGGAGCTGACGGGGCCTCGGGGAGCAGATGGGAACTGGGGAAGCTGATGGAGACTGGGGGAGCTGATTGGGGCTGGGGGAGTTGATGCGGGCTGGGGGAGCTAATGGTGGCTAGGGGAGCTGATGGAAACTGGGAGAGCTGACAGGGCCTGGGGAGCTGATGGGGGCTGGGGGAGCTGATGGGGGCTGTGGGGAACAGCATGAAGCTGACAGTCTGGTTGTCCCTGGTGGCGCCCGGGTGAGCTGGAGAGGCAAGGCCATGGTGACAGAACCTCTGTGTGTCGCAGACCCTCTCTCCCTACAACAAGGGCCTCATCGGGCGAGCCATCAGCCAGAGCGGCGTGGCACTGAGCGCCTGGGCCATCCAGAGGAACCCTCTCTCCTGGGCCAAGGAGGTAAAGGGGAGCTGCGGTGGGGGAGAGGGGAGTGTTACCTCCTGTCCATGCCCTGTCCCGGTCCCCATGGCCCCCGGCAATGGCCTCACATACCTGTCTCCCCCCAACCCCCAGATCGCCAAAGAGGTGGGCTGCCCCTTGGACGATACCGCCAGGATAGCCAAGTGTCTGAAGGTCACCGACCCCCGGGCCCTGACGCTGGCCTATAAGATACCCCTGTTGGGCAAGAAGTGTGAGTGGGGGCTCCATATGTGGGGACGGCCATGCTCCCAAAGATGTGAGGAAGTGCTGGGTCTGCGGCCTGGCCCGTCATCTACTCAGTGGCTTCCCTGGGAGCCCAGTGCCGCCAGGGCCCTTGTTGCCTCCGTGGCCTCGAATGGCTGTGCTAGGGCACCATCCCTCCCTCTGAGCCTCCCTGGGTCCTGACCCCTTTGGGAAGCTGGTGCACTTTTCCCCCCAACAACGGACAAAAACAGTCATTTGCACCCAATTTAGGAACCTCAGGCCCAGTGGCTGTCAGCGGGATGGTTTGGCCCCAGGGAGCCTGTGGCAGTCTGCACAGTCTGGGTTGCCACACTTGGGGGTGCTGACATCTAGTGGATGGGGCCAGGGAAGCTGCTCCACACCCGCAGGGCAGCCCAGGCCTTAGAATTATCCAGGCCCCATGTCAGGGGGACAGGCTGAGGAACCTGGTCTGAATCAGAGGAGGCCGGGCTGCCCCCGGGCATGAGGCCTGGCAGGGGGGCTCTGAAAGGTGTGAGGACCCCTGCTCTCCACACAGACCCCTTCCTGTACTCTTTGGGCCCCCTGCCTGTTGTGGACAGAGACTTCATCCCCGACGATCCCATCAATCTTTTTGCCAACGCGGCCGACATCGACTACATCGCTGGCACCAACAACATGGACGGCTACATGTTTGCCAAAATTGACGTGCCGGCCATCAACGTGGACTTGCTGACTGTCACGGGGTAAGTAGGACGCAGTGCCCAGGGCAGTGCCTGGGGGCCTCTTTGGGAGGCATCAGCTAAGCGAGGAGGCCAGCAGGTGTAGGGGGCCATCTGCAGGCCCCTGGCTCGGGGGCGGAGGGTTGCCTCCCACTGGCCGGGGAAAAGGGTCCAGTACCTGCTTGTCCCTGCAGGGAGGACTTCTTCAAGCTGGTCAGTGGGTTCACCATCACCAAGGGACCCAGAGGTGCCAATGCCACCTTTGACTTCTACACGGCGTCCTGGGCTGAGGACTCCTCCCAGGAGGCCAAGAAGAAGACGGTGGTGGACTTGGAGACCGACATCGGCTTCCTGATGCCCACGAAGATGACTGTGGCCCAGCACAGAGCCAATGCCAAGTGAGGGCCAGGGCAGGGGAGCCCATCTGGGTCACACATCTGCCCAGCCAGGCCTCCCTGGGGGGTGGCTCAGGGGGTCAGGGAGGCCCGGGAAAGCCGTGATGGGGTCCCAGCGGTGCCTGCACCATCTGCCTTGTCCAGACCAGACGAGACTGAGAAGGCCCCTCTTCACCTCCCAGCTCAGGGGCCTTTACAAAACCCTCCTCATGTTACAGGGAAGCCCCGGGTGGGCTGGGGTTGCCTGTCCCTGTGTCCAATCACGAAGGCCGGGTTGAACCATATGAGGCATTTATTTAGAAGGCCAGCCCACCAAGAAGACAGGGCGCTTACAACCATTCAAATCCTGTTTTCCAGCAGGTGCAGGGGGCAAGACTCTAAAGGGGAGGGGGCTCGGGTGCTACTTGCAGCCCTGAGGGTCCGCAGACATCAGCTATTGTAGTCATCACCTGATGAGAAGATGCAGATGAGATGATGGGGATGAGATGATGGGGATGAGATGATGGGGATGAGATGATGGGGATGAGAGGATGGGGATGAGATGATGGGGATGAGATGATGGGGATGAGAGGATGGGGATGAGATGATGGGGATGAGATGATGGGGATGAGATGATGGGGATGAGATAATGGGGATGAGAGGATGTTTTCACTCCTGGTGGGTCTGTCTGACCATGCTTATCGGTTCTGCTTGCTGGATTCACAGCTGAGTCACCTCCTTCATTGCTTTGCACAGGCCTTCAAAGGAAACTTAAGAAAACCTTAACCCTCCTCTTCACATAAGTATGTGTGTTCTAAGATTGAAAATAATAGGGTTACTTTCAGATTAATCCAGGTGCTCTATCTATCAGGTTATCAGTCCCCCATTCCCTCAGCCCACAGGCCTCCCCTGCAGTGTCTGCAGCCTCCCCGCAGTTCCCTGGCCGAGGGGGACAGAACACGGGATGTTGGTCTCTCTTGTGGGTTTGGAGTTTACCAACATTCAAAACAACTTTGGCCTGCGGCCACCTGGTAAACCTCCAGTGAAAATAAAAAGTACATTAGGGATGCCGACACGGAAGGGAGAGAAAACGATGCCTAGGAAGTGTAGGATGAACACTTGTAGCAACTACATGAACTTGTGTTCTTCATTGGGTGGGTCAGGTATGTACCCGACGAAGATCACAAATTCATCTGCAGAGAAAAGGAAGGAAGACGCATCCATAGGCTTTGGGGAGGGAAGTGTGGATACACTTGAAATCCCAGAACCACAACCCCTCGGCCTTCCCTTCCCCGGTGCAGGGATCCAGGTCTCTCCTGAGTCTGGGGATTTCCCGACTCCTCCCTGCTCTCCCCATGGCCTCCCTCCAGGGCCCAGCTCTGGGCTGGGGGGCCCAGGTGAGCTCCCTGCCAACCTGGACGTGTCTCTCCCTCCTCAGGAGTGCCCGGACCTACACCTACCTGTACTCCCACCCAGCTCACAATCCATCGTACCCCAGCTGGGTGGGCGCCGACCACGGTGATAATCTTCAGTACGTGTTTGGGAAGCCCTTTGCCACCCCCATGGGCTACCGGGCCCAAGACAGAACTGTCTCCCGGACCATGATCGCCTACTGGACCAACTTTGCCAGAACTGGGTAAGGCAGGTGAGGCTGGGCCAGGCCTCCTGCCACCTGGGCCCACATGCCTGTCCCCTCATGTACACATAACCTCCCTGAGCCTCTGTACCCCCTGTGTGTGAGGATAGAGCTCCTGGTTGAGCACAGAACACATACATGCCCAGCCCGTGCCCAGGAGACAGTGAGGTGCCCTGGTGGTTCGGGTCAGCATGGAGGTCTCCAGCCTCCTGTGAGCCCTCAGACCCCACACGGCCTTTTCCTCATCTGCAGGGACCCCAACCAGGGCCACTCGGCTGTTCCCACCCAATGGGAGCCCTACACCCAGGAAAACGACAACTACCTGGAGATTAACAAGAAGATGGATGACCAGTCCATGAAGCAGCACCTGAGGAGCAGCTACCTGCAGTACTGGACCCAGACCTACCAGGCACTGCCCACTGTGAACGGAGAAGGAGTCGTGCCCGTGCCCCCCTCGGACGACTCTTTGGCCATCCCCGTGCCTCCCTCGGACGATTCTGAGGCCGCCCCTGAGCCCCCCACTGGTGACTCTGAGGGGGCTCAGATGTCCGCAGCCATTGGCTTCTAATGTCCTGGCCCCAGAGGCCACAGGTGGGACCCAGGGAGCCCACCTCCCTCCCTAGCTCTTCCTGAATAAAGCCACTTCTCTCTCTGGCAACCCTCTTTGCCCTCATGACCTCAGCTGCCCGCCTGGTCTCTGCCTGTGTCCGGCTCAGGAAGTGGGGTGCCCTCCTCATTTCAGAGGAGACAAGAGGGTCAGGGAAGGGTCAGCCCTGACAGGGGCCCCGAGCCCCAAGGGCAGTTGCCTCCGGACCAGTGGACCCAGCCTCGGCCAGGACCTCAGGGTGCGGGGAGCGGGCTCTGTTTAATGGGAATGGCCTGGGAGGGAAACAGAATCGCCTCCAGCTGGATCCCAGGAGAGATAGTACCCGGGCTCAGAGCAGAGGGTACAAGGGCTGGGCCTTGAGTGCCCACCGGCAGGGGCCTGTGCTGTTGCCTGCTGGCTCTTGTAGATTCCGGAGGGGAGCAGGAGGCAGAGGTCAGACGCAGGGCCATGGCCACCTCAGCTAGGTCTGGGACGGGGCACCCCCTGCACCGAGCGCTCCCCCATCCTGACCTCACATGACCCGGGCGGTGGGCACTGTGGACACGCCGTTGTAGACAATTACCGTGAGACATGCTCACCTTTCAAGTGAAACCTTGAATGCGCTCTGGAGAGCAGGAGTCTGCCCATTGCACAGGCTCACCTGGGGCGGGAACACAGTCCACTTAATCGGCCCTCCTCCGGTTCCTCATTGGCTGAGTGCTATGGGCTCAGCTGTTTCCTGACTCGGTCCTCCCATTGGGCCCTTTAAAAAAATTGGCTGACGCCTTTTCTAGTTGACTCCCCCTCCCCCTGTCTAGCTGAGGCCGGTGCCTGGAGGGTCTCCACCATGAGGCCAGCCCACACCCACAGGGCCTTGGTCTCACATCTGTGTCCCTCCTGCTCCCTTCTCTGAGCCCTGGGGAGGTTCAGCCACCGCTTCCATCAGGAGCTGGACATGCCGGCCCATGTCCTACAGCGCCAGGGCTCCAAGAGGGCTCACGTGCCTCAGGCCCTCACAGCGAGGACTCAAGCCCAGGTCTGAGACCCAAAGCTACCAGGTCAGCTCAGAGCAGGCGTGAGGGCTCAGAGGAGAGAAGGTTCCTGCTGGGGGTGTGCATGGCAGAGGCAGCTCAGGGCACCAGCCAGCCACCCTGATGCACACGGTCCAGTGTTTCCCTGGCCTGGCGGTGGGAACAGCGGGCAGTGTGGGTGGTGTTCCTCCCCGCCTGCCCTGCCCCATCCTTCCACCTCCCCCACGAGAGGTTCCAAGCGCCCACCTCCCCATGGCAGAACCACAGCACAGCCCTGGACAGCGAGGGCAGCCAGCCAGGGGCTGCGGGCTCTCAGGGCTCCAGCCCGTCTGCCCTTCAGGATCAGGGAGTCTACACTGGTCACAGCCCGAGACGGGGACCTCAGACCTCACAGCCCTGGGTTCCTCTGGGCCAGCGGGGAGGGGGCAGGAATCAGCACGTTTATCCTGCAAACCCGCACTCACCTGGGACTCCTCAGACCAGGTGCGGGCAGGCGAGGGGGGCGGGCCAGCGCCTGGTCCTGGTGAAATGAAGCCTGAAAGAGCGGCAGCCCCTGGGTCCCGGGGCCCAGCTGTCGCCTTAAATGAGCTGCATCACAAATGCTTCCCGGGACACAGCGCCTCCAGAGAGGCCTTCCCAGGACGGGTTCTCGGAGGGTTCCAATCCCGTAAAGGAAGGCCGGGCCCCTGGAGAACAGAATTGAAGTCCCGGACAGAGGCCACTGGCCAGTGCTCCCCGCCTCGCCTCCCCAGTGACGCTGTGATCTGTCTACACTCCCCCACTTAGTGCGGGTGGGTTCCATACTGAACTTGAAATCTCCCAATTCCTCCTGGTGGGCAGCAGACACCACAGCCCAGCCAAACGCCTCCCTCTCCCTCCAAAGGAAGGCAGCCCCGTCCTTGCTCAGGAGCTGGTCCTTGCAACTGTTTTAAAAATCAGAGTAAAATATAAATCACATAAAATACGATAGTTTAAGGATTTATGAGTTCAATTCGGTGATATTAACTGCAGTCGCACTATTATGCAACCATCACCACCATCTAGTTCCAAATCATTGCATCACTCCAAACAGAAACTTTGTGTCCACTGATCAGTATCTCCCCTCTCCCAACTGCTGCTATTGAACTTCCTGTCTCGGTCAATTTGCCTCGTCTTAACATGTTTTCTTTATTATTGATTTTCTTTTTTAGAGAGGGAGGGAGAGAGAGAGAAACATGGATCTCTCCCCTGGGACTCCTCAGACTACGTGCGGGCAGTGCGAGGGGTGTGGTCCAGTGCCTGGTCCTGGGTGAAATTGTTACAGAATTTACCAGGCGACCCGCAGGGGTACCAGGAAAAAAACATTTATTTTCAGATGTTTCACATGTACCTGTATAGGACTCAGGGGACACCGTTTCTCTCCAAATCCTGAGCAAGCCAATATGGAGGAAGCTTTCCCTTTATACACTTTTGGTTTCTTTGTCTCCCAAATATGGGATGGGACTTCCGGACCTTAGGCCGGCTTTGCAAAAAGCCTCATGTGCTGGGCTGAGGGCAGTGAGACCACATCTCAAGGCCTGGCCTGGCGCCAACACTGAGAACTCCATCTGGGGGTTGTGTATTGTTCATGGTTCATGGCCTCTCTAAAACGGGGGTAGTCCTTAGGTAAACAGGTCTTGCAGGACCAGATAATTAAAGAAGGGCCGGTGACTAGACCAGTGATGGCGAACCTTCTGAGCTCGGCATGTCAGCATTTTGAAAAACCCTAACTTAACTCTGGTGCCGTGTCACATATAGAAATTTTTTGATATTTGCAACCATAGTAAAGCAAAGATTTATATTTTTGATATTTATTTTATATATTTAAATGCCATTTAACAAAGAAAAATCAGCACTGATAACTCCATCTGGGGGTTGTGTATTGTTCATGGTTTATGGCCTCTCTAAAATGGGGGTATTACTTAGGTAAACAGGTCTGGCAGGACCAGATAATTAAAGAAGGGCCAGTGACTAGACCAGGGGTGGGCAAACTTTTTGACTCGAGGGCCACAATGGGTTCTTAAACTGGACCGGAGGCCGGAACAAAAGCATGGATGGAGTGTTTGTGTGAACTAATATAAATTCAAAGTAAACATCATTACATAAAAGGGTACGGTCTTTTTTTTTTTTTTTTTAGTTTTATTCATTTCAAACGGGCCGGATCCGGCCCTCGGGCCGTAGTTTGCCCACGGCTGGACTAGACTATAAGCTAACAAGATCGTGCATTAGGTTACTGGCACAGATTCAGATTGCTAGACTCCCAAAAGTGTGTCACTTTCCCCATGAAAATGAAGCCAGTGAAGAGCTGCAGATCCTGATTCCCAGGGCCCAGCTGTCACCTTAAATAAGCTGCATCACAAATCCATCCCAGGACACAGCACTGCCTCAGAGGCCTTCCCTACACAGGGTTCCCGGAGGGTTCCAATCCGGTAAAGGAAGGCCGGGCCCTTGGAGAACAGAATATGAAGTCCGCCCAACAGAGTGCTCCCCGCCTCGCCTTCCCAGTGACAGGCTTTGATCTGTCTACACTCCCCCACTCAGTGCGGGTGGGTTCCGTTCTGAACTTGAAATCTACGAATTCCTCCTGGTGGGCAGCAGAACCACAGGCCCAGCCAAACTCCTCCCTCTTCCGCCAAAGGAAGGCAGCCCCGTCCTGGGTCAGGAGGTGGTCCTGGCCTCTGTTTTTGAAAATTGGGGTAAAATATAAATCACATAAAATACGATAGTTTAAGGATTTATGAGTTCAATTCAGTGATATTAACTGCAGTCACACTATTGTGCAACCATCACCACCTTCTAGTCCCAAATCATTGCGTCACTCCAAACAGAAACTTTGTGTCCACTGATCAGTATCTCCCCTCTCCCAACTGCTGCTATTCAACTTCCTGTCTCAGTCACGTTGCCTAGTCTAAACATTTTTCTTTATTATTGATTTTCTTCTCAGACAAGAAGGGAGAGAGAGAAACGGGGATTTGATAGATACACAGATCAACAGCCTCCTGCACGTCCCCTACTGGGGAGTGAGGCCGGCATGTGCAGTATTGGGAATGCAAAGGGTGACTGGTTGGTGCAAGGGAAGATGGGAAGATGCTCAACCGATGGAACCACACTGGCCGGGCTACTTTCTTTACTTTGAAATTGTGTTGTTGAGAGTATTGCAGATGTCTGCCATTTGCCCTGTCGGCCCCCCTCCACCCAGCTCCCACCCCAGCCCAGCCTCTCCCGAGTCTATTGTCTATGAATATATGCCTAATAGTTCTTGATTAATCTCTTCCCGCCCTCCCTCCACCTTCACTCTGAGATCTGTCCTTCTGCTCCATGCTTCCATGTCTATGGTTCTGTTTTATTCGTCAGTTCATTTGGTTCATTAGATTCCACATGCGTGAGATCATGTGACACTTGTCTTTCTCCCACTGGCTTACTTCACTCAGCATAACAGTCTCCAGGTCGCTCCAGGCTGTCTCAACGGGTCAGAGGTCCTTCCTTTTTACAGCCGCATAGTAATCCATGGTGTGAATGTACCACAGCTTTTTATCCACTCATCTACCGATGGGCACTTGGGCTGTTACCAGATCTTGACTATTGACAATAACGCTGCTATGAACATGGGGGTGCGCACACCCTTTTCTGATTGTGCTTCAGGATTCGTAGGATATTCCCAGAAGTGGATCACT